ATGTTATTGCATTATTATTTGTACTTACAGGTTTTTTGTTTTTATCTTTTATCGATTTTTTTATTGCTTACAAAATATAGTTTTAACAATCAAATATCGTACTAATGCAAATATTTTTCAAAGAAACTTCTTAGTTGCTTTTAAAAAAATCACGAAAAATGATGTCGTTTCGGATAGAAAGAAAAGCTCTTATTTGATGACATTGTGATTTGGCTTAAGAGTTTTGCAATAACGCCAACAAATATTTCATATATTCACAATAACTTTCATAACATTAAATTTCATTTGTTTATGAATTCAAATAAATAAAAGACTTAAATAGGTTAGATAATGTTTTCGCCATCTTCATAGTTCCGTGATCATCCTCAAAAAGTCCTCTAACCTTATCCAGTGGATAAGGTTAAAGACTTCCTAGATATACTGTATGAAGAGGCATTGACAGGTCCTGGTTGTCCCTATGAATAGACCTTGAGAAGTTTTAAATACGTCCTATGGATAGATCTTGATATATTAGGCCAAATTATAGATCTTCCAAAGTTGATATTCAGTTCGCTCAAAAGAACTGTTCGACCAGTTCAGCTCGTTCGAAACGAACTGTTCGAAAAGTTCAGTTCGCTCGAAAAAAACTTTTGAACAGTTCTTTCGCTCATTTGAACGGAGTTCGTGAACGTGAGCTGGTGAACCCCTAGTGTAGAAGCACTCTTGAAAACTCTTTTGGATACACTATGTTTTACTAGTCTACGACACACATATCTCGTTATTTTACCCATATGGCAACTGCCACAATCCTTAAGCTTTACTGCATAAACCAAATCAGACCGTACTGAATTGCAAAAGTTATCTTTTTGCTGAAGAACGCACCGACTGTTTTAGGTGGTCTTAGTATTATTTTCAAGTCAAATGGTGATTTAAATTGTTTTGTGAAATGTTGCAATCTTTTACTAAATATTTTTGATGAATTGTGCACAAATGGTATGTCTACTACTAGCCGTTTTTTAGTGGTTGATTGTTAGTCTGATCAATCAAGTTTGAATTGTTAAAATTTGCGAATAATGCTATAGTAATAAGAACCCGGCCAGTGACTGGCCGCCGGTTCACGTAATGGTAGACTTTTATGTCAAAGTTGAAGTGCAAATGCGGCTAAAAGTAACACTACTATGTTATAGAGGATAGTCAATAATGTATAAAAGAAAATTCTTTTATCTTCGTTTTGCGTTCATTTTTTAAAGAAAAAGGCTTTTGAACAGATGGCACCTTGACCCATAAAAGAACAGCACACCGATGATTTTTTCATTTTTCTTCGCGAAAGTTAGTTGTTTCTTTGTTCTATTTGCGGCTCGGGTCGAAAGTAGAACAGATAAACTTACTTTTTACGTAAAAGAAATGAATTTCTGTGCTCCAGTCATCTGAATTTGTCAACGTGGTATTTTGAACACGTGATTCTGTCACGAAATTTCTCCGCAGTTTTATTTTTGACACACTTGTGACCTTTGAGGAAGGTCAAGTCACCTTTCTAGTAACAATTTTTCGCACTCTATCTAATGCACGAATTTGTTTTGACTTAAATATTTTCGTTAAAATAAAACAGCTTGGCAAAATTAGGCATTATCGGTCAAATTTGCTTTTACGAAGAAACGAACTTCTTTCTCGTCCCATTTTTCGTCGTTTTAAGTTGTCCTGAATTGACTAGATGTAGTTTGAATTGTTTCTCTCAACTGCGTACAACAAATCTCACATTTTCTTACTCGTTCCCGACTCCCACTATGATTTATAGTTCAGATAACTATCCTAGATATTATCTTTCACGAGTATTCATGCCTTTGAGTGTCGCCGAAAGAAGCCGAAGATATCGGGAGCGTTTGAAACAAAAGATTGAACAAATGTAGGCGGATACCAAATTTTCATCAAAAACTCTGGAGGATCTCTAGGAGGACTCGAAAAAACCTTCATAAACATACAGTTTGGTTGAAAGAAAAGAAGATCAGCACATTAAAATGGGCTCCCTACTTACCGGACCTCAATCCTATAGGGCATATGTGGGATGAGCTTGTAAAGTACGGATGATGCAGGCCACTATGTAGTAAGAAACATATGCTTTTAATTATCGTTCATCTCTACTATTGATTTCGGTGTAAATTTGTGAGATAAATAAGGAGTGAGTGTTCTTTATTTAATTACTGTTTTGTAGTTAACCTATCACGAAATCATTCACGAAATTCATTCCACAACTCAAAAACACGTTGTTCCTATTGGTGCAGTAGATGTACTTTTCTTTGATGTTTTCTTTCGAACAGACGGTTCGCTGTATATTTGTTTACCCAAAATAAAACTCAAACATCAATAAAAATATATCGACTAATTGTATGTATCAGCGATGGAATTGACATCAAAGCTACTATTATTAATGCAATTATGCCCAATTTTCTGATTACTGTTCATTTGCATGTGCTATTATACAAAAAGACGTCAACAGCGCACTGCAGAGTGATAGTGGTTTTCTAAGAACGTTTTTCAGAAATTCCGAGATATAATACTCAAGCGGAGAGAGACGGAAACATTGCCATGGAATTCAGAATAATGAAAAACCTGTGTTCCATTTACTTAAGAGATGTCCAGAAATCAAGGTACCTCGATATGGGTGCTTTTGGAGAAAGTCTACCACACCCGAACGATGATAGATGAATGTCTTGGACTTGCGTGGATGTGGAGTCTAGATGTCAATATATGTTCTGCATATTTTGAAACTATAGGTTGCTACAGCAGCCTAGGAAATGGCAACTTGCCTACGGAAAATCTATCAGTTACACCACTTGCAGGCCGAATTCTGAACCTGATTCTTTTACCAATAGATTTACCTCAGTGTCGTCTGTGAACTGTTGATAATTGCACCTCTTTATCTTTTGTATATCAAAAGTTATTCTGAAAAGAGTTTTATTCACTGTATTTTGAAATAGATAATACGTTTTGTACATTATCAATTATTTTTATGTACTCTCCAAAACAAACTTCGAAAGAAATCCGTCAAAAAATTCGATTAACCTTGTCAATTTTTACTGACAAAAGAAAGCAAATTACTAATAAGATGAAAGAAAAGAAATAGTTGTTCCTGGCGATTTTTAGAGCATCAATATAACAAACAAATTAAAAAATCAGAACCATTTGAGTAAGAGATGACGATAGACTTTGCTATGTACAGTTAAACAAGCTCTGATCCCCACTAGACTGGGGCGATTCCCACCGTACTATTGGGGTCTACCAAACTCATTCTAAAAGGAGTTATCTCAATTTTATGTATTTTATTAGTGAAATATTCTCTTGAATAGCATTCAGTTCATGAATGACGAATTATCAGATCCATTCCTTTTGAACTGGAATAGAGAGAACATTCAAATTTAGCTGGATGAGAACTGTTCTGGGCCTACTCGTATCTACATATAGATATTAGAACTTGTTGTAACTTCATCCCGCTTTTAAAACGAATTTTTGACGAACGTCCCAATAGTAAATCAGAAAGATCATTTCGTTACGTTCAGATATCAAAAGAATGTATGTTTACTAAGTGATTAAAATCAATCACGAAAAGCACAAGCTGCAAAGACCATATGCTTTATGTTTCGTATGAATTTAAGCTAAAATCGATGATTCTGTGGTGTAACAACTTCTAAATTCGGTTCGCCAGCATCGTTTATTTCCTCCAAAACTGCTTGTTTCCAAATATCCAGGAGCTTCGCTGCAGTACAATCAATTTTTTCTTGATCTTTCATCGAGTCAAGTAATCCTCTATGTTGTCCCATTAGCATTGTTATAATCAAAATAATTTTGCTTGGCGTCGTTAAAATCGAAACAAAACTCGAACTGACATTTGGATAGCCTAACGTGAGTCCACACGTCCCAAATGCACTGATGATTTCAAATATAATTTTGAATACGGTGATATTTTCATCCACCGGACTCATGTGATAGGATTCAAAACAACATATCAAAAAGATGAACAAAAACAACCACGTACGTGTACCAATTAGGAAATCAAATGTATAAGTGATTATTTTACGGCTAAAAAATACAAAGAATAAGCGGAGACGAATCCACGCTATATCAACAGGCGGCTCTCTTCTCACGTCATGTTTCTTCGTCATACTAATCTTATCGTTCTCTCTTGTATTCGATCGATTTTTGGCTTCAGTGGAATAATGATCTTTTGCCATCAGTTTAACTTGTAATGATTGTCTACGCAAAAATCGATTCATCTGACGGATAGGAAATGCCAAATCTAGTGATGAACGTCGATCCCGTTCAACATGTATTTCTTCTTCTTGATCGACATGTCGTAAAGGCTTTATTTTTTTATTCACCTCTTCCTGAGTTTTCAGCGCAACCCATTCAAGTTCAAAGGGTGTTTCGTCCATGCTACATAACATTTGTGGTTTAACTGCCATGAGTAATAGATAAACAATCAATGTTCCTGCTGCTAAAGAACTAATATCGATGGTAGTGAAGCCGGCAAAGCGTGTCATACCAGTGTGAAACAGAAAGATGAGAAATTGCTTGTCTCCCGAATATTGAGCAAAATTATTGTTATTCAAATCTAATATGAGTGATATACTAACACCAGTGATATATAAGAGTGATGTGATCAAAAGGTAAATACGTGTTTGAACCGTTGGAAATGATACATCTTCAGCAAATCGTGCTAGACTATCAGACCATGGGGCTAAACCGTTTTGATTGAATCCTGTCACTGTTATAATAAATGAGGCAAACCATCCACTAATAACTCTTCCGTCTTGTAGAAGTTGATTAGGCTGATACTTGTTCTGAATCCAAGCACCGATAACAACAAATGTAATTCCATAAATTGTAAAGCATGTTGTCAGTATCAGAAAAATTGTTGTCATATACGCTCGATATCGTAATTGATCTGCTGTTAGTAGAGATTTTAATTTTCTTTTCGTAGCAGTATCTCGATTTAAGTTTGTCGTAGGTAA